AATGAGATTTAAATCAAGCTTTAGATGCTTTTTGTAGTCAAATCTCCCAACCTGCCGTGAACTACTAATGAGACCAAAGTGCTAACCAATTGGTGAGGATGACAGAACTCCAGTAACCACCATATGGATTCCCCACCCAGAGTGTTTCCTTTGTGATTTATGTTCCCAGTTCTCACAGTCCACCGCCTCATATACCAGTGTGCCACTTTACAGATCCCCTGCAGCAGCTATAGGCTACCTAATTAACTCCCTTTGTCCTCCTTCCAGTAGACAGCAGTAAGTCTGAATCTCCTGCTCCAGCCGGCATTTGACATCCAGGAGGACCTTGTACTCTTGGTTCTGGCACTCGATTTCTGCCCGCAGCTCAGCCAACTGCTGCTCCACACAGATGATCTGGTTCTGTAACTCGGCAAGTTGATTGTTGTAGCGACGTTCGGTTTCAGCCAGAGAAGACTGCAGATTGTCCCTCTAAGAATTGACACAAACACACATAGGCGCTAGAACCATGCACTGAATTTAGGCCTTCAGGGATGCAAGAATTAAGAGATTCCCCATGCAACAATAAAACTCCCCAATGCCTGTAGAGAGCCAAGCTGGAACGGATCACCCACCATCCTAGGCATCCAGGGATGACTTGTTCATAGGTTTGATGGAAATGGTCACCCCAGGACTTACCATCCTAAGCTGGGAGTCCAGGTCAATCTCCAAGGCCTGTAGTTCACGTCTCAGTTCAGAGACCTGGCTGTTGCTACACTCTATCTCCTTACTGCTTGAGATGACCTCCTGATTCACCTCCTCAATCTGAGAAACACAAACCCAGAACAGAGATAATGAAAATCTTTCTTTTAAAAAAATAAAATACAAAGTAGGGTGAGTTTAGTGTTAATGGATGAAAATAGATAATTAACAAAAAATGTAAAATGAACAAAAGCGATGTGATTTCTCTGCCTACTGGAACATAAACCTTGCTTGCAATTCTGTTGCTATTCAAACAATGTGCTGTGCAATTTATTAATCAGTCTCCTTTGTTATAACGGATGGTTCTGCATATCACTTCACCCACACACCTCAATGACAAGCAGTAAACCAGGAGACATGTGTGATATTCACTTAGGCCTCTGTGTCCTTTGCCACTTGATCAGACTGAATAATATTGACTAAAATTAGCACATTGTATTTAACATACCTTGCATGCATACCAATCCTCAACCTCTTTGCGGTTTTGCGCAATGATAGCTTCATACTGGCATCTCATGTCATCCAAGATTTGCTTCAGATCTGGACCAGGGCAGGAATTGACCTCCACATTGACATCTCCAGTGGACTGGTTCCTCAGACAATTAATCTCCTGCAAAGATAGATACAGATCAAGCTGTTTTTCAAAGCAAGTAGAGACATTATGGTGCTGTTTTTTGTGACACGTAAATCTAGTGAAGTTTAGGCTGAGGTCCACCTCTGGCATTCCCAATTCCTCTCTACAATCCATTTTTTCCCATCATAAACCCAAGAGAGTGAGGCAGCTGTGGCTCACTTCCAACCTAAGCTCCACAGTGAGACGCTCAGGACAAAGGGAGCTGGGAGTGCTTTTGACATACAGAATAGTTGATCTCAAGGAATTAAGGAGCTCCACCTAAGTACTGTGTTGCTTTCTGCCATGTAGCAGGCAGAAGAGGCATGCTGTGGTAGCCAGCTTGCACATTACTCTCTTTCATAGGCTTTAATGGCACATGTTGTCACCACAGCTACTATATTTGTCAGTGTCTTTTTTGTACACTGAATGCTGTCAGCCTGTTTCTACTACCAGTTTTTTTCCCTGAAGGAATCATATCGAATGAAAGAACGCAAGCAAATGCAAATACATTCATCACACTATGTTGACTTCTTTAAAATCTATCTCCTTTCAAAAGAATACATGAAGTGTTGTGTGGGGTCAGACCAATGGTCTGCCTAGCCCAGTATCCTGTTTTTGGCAGTGACAAGTAGTATATATGTTTTAGAGAGTCAGTATATGAATAGGAAATATCCAGAATAATCCATTTCATGTCATACCCTTCCTGCCAATGGCCATAACTTGCCTATGGATGTCAGAGAATACATCCCTGACTGTTCTATTTAGTAGCTCTTAGTGGACCTGCTCTCCATGAATCTGTCCAATCCCTTTTGGAACCTGGGTTATATTACAGCCTCCTATGACAATGACTTCCACAAGTTAACTATGCAATGTGTAAAAACATACTTCCTCTGGTTTGTTTTAAATCTGCCTCCTGAGCATTTCAGTGGGTGCCTCCTAGTTCTAATCATTCTTAGTTTTGAAATGCAGCATTACATTTCAGTGGTTGGATGCGGAAATCCTAACTTACACTTCCTGAGGTTGCTGCTGACTTGAATGATCTTGAGCAAGTCACTTTACTTCTCTCTTCCTGAGATAACTTCACAATGGAGTGAATACTCCTGCCTCCACAGGGATAGGGTTTTGTTAATGCTCATTAATTGCTGGTAAACTGTTTGGAGTTCTGCATTTGCTAAACCACAACCCATGCAAAAGGAGTAACAATAAAAAAGACTATTGTTAACTAAAACAGAACCCTGAAGTTTTCTTCAGTGGCTGCACTCTACTACTGGTCTAGTCAGTGTACGATCTGATTCTTCTGCCTGACAAGGGCAGGATCCTACCTCCTCATGGTTCTTCTTCAGACAGCACAGCTCCTCCTTCAGGGCTTCAAGCTGTGCCTCCAGGTCAGATCTGCAGAGAGTCAGCTGATCCAGGACTTGGCGTAAACCATTAATATCAGCCTCCACACTCTGGCAAAGGGCCAGCTCAGTCTCATACCTAAACCATGGGCAAGAAAAAGGAAAAAGTTAGGGTTGCCAACCCTCCAGGATTGCCCTGGAGCCTCCAGGACTTAGATATAAATCTCCAGGAGACTGCTGAGAATCACCCGGAGATAAATGATAGGGCATTCATTAAAATAAATATTAACTGTTGAATCCAATTTATACAGTAGTCATCCAGTGGATTTTTAAAATGTAATAATATTGTGCTTTTGTTAAAACCCACAAAAATGCCATCTGTCCCAGCTTGAAACTCCTAATAATACCTCTTTGGAGAATTTCTTGTTTGAGTAGGATGTGCAGGAAAGGAGAGAAAATAAGAATGAGGGTTTGTATCACATAGAGAAGCACTCACTTCATTCGGAAGTCATCACCGGTCATCCGGCTGTTATCAATGTCCAGAATGATCTTGTTGTTATCAACAGTGGCGCACACAATCTGGAAGAGAACAGATTATGAAGTTTACAGTCCTACAGGCTCCTCACTCTCTTAGGTTCAATGTCTCAATGTAAATTTTGGCTACTGTTGCATTGCCCTGACTTTTCTTTCAATTTATTTTCTGTTTCTTTTGGGGTGTGGAATAAATTTATATTACTCCCTTATTTTTTACATTCATGGAAGAAGTAAGTACAGACAAGTTGAGTATCGAAGACAAGTTTGTGAAATGCAGTATGTGAAATTAATTCATATGTAAAAATATACTGATCCAGAGAAAATTGTAATTAAGGTAGGTGCTGGGTAGCACTATTTATAACATGCCTCAAATTTGCAAGTACAGAACACACTTTTCATTTTAGAATTAATCATTTCAGGATATTAACTATGTCCAGATGCTCTAATTGCTGATTTCCTGTTTCTTATGACCATTTGCTTTGTTTTTCTGAGCAGTCTGACTCCCCTACACTGCCTAAAACCTAATTTGGAATGACCTACTCAAAACTAATAAAAGCTAACCAGAAAATGTTGTCCTTTAGGTTTCTTTTTTTAGGAGAGCAATAGTTCTTTATTCTGTATGGATGTGCAAATTTTGTTGAAACAGAAATAAGATTTTAAACTAAAATTCTGGAAAACTCATGACAGCACTACATGCAATGAAACAGATAGCATACTCAATAAATAAATATCTCCATCAGTCTCTTTCTTGAGCGTTAATTTATCAAAACAGCTTGAGACAAACTTCATTCAGAAGGACTTGCTTCAGAAGGACCAAGCAAAGATTGTTCCCTGTGCCTACCTCAATAGAAATCTAATCATGAAAAAAAGAAAACAGCCATTTTCAGTGCATTTAACTTGCAATGAAGAGTTTTATACATGCAGTTGTCTTAGTATATGTCTGCAAAGAGCACTGAAACAGTGAAATGTTGCTTCTGAATACCAATGTCAGGATTTGAATACAAACTCATGGAGAAGCCTTTACAGCAGGGAAGGCAGCTGAAAAAAAGGAGGTCCTACCTGGTTTTGAAGATCTTCTATTTCCCTGATGTAGCAGCTGTAGTCCTTTGGCTCACAGGTGGGGCCATGCTTGGCATACCAGTCCCGGATCCTGCACTCCAGTTCAGCATTCTCTTCCTCCAGGCATCGCACCTTGTCCAGGTAGGATGCCAGGCGGTCATTAAGGTTCTGCATGGTTATCTTTTCATCACAGCAGAAAAGTAGGCCATCACCCCCAGAGCCTCCCCCAGGAACTATGCCTCCACCAAAGCCACCACCAAAGCCACCACCAAAACCACAATCAATGGGACCTCCAATGCCACCAACAAACCCAGAGCCACCGCCAACACCAAAGCCACCACCACCACCAAAGCCACCACCAACACAGGTGCTGCCACTGCTGAATCCAATGTTTCCCATGTTGCATAGTCCTACGGCCCCTCCATAACTTCCACCAGCTAAACTACCAGTACTCAGCCCTCCTCCATAACACCGTCCACCACCGAAACTCCTGGCAGAAAAACCTCTACTGCTGCCCATCCCACCAGAGATGCTTTTTCCAGAACAGACTGATGAAGTCCTTGCTCCCCCACCGCCTCCACCAACACCATAGCTACCACCACTGCCCTTAGCTGAGCTAGAGACAGTAGTAACTGTTCTCTTGATTCCACAACTCATAGCCACAGCAATTAATTATCCAACCCAAACCCGAAAGCAAGAGGCAGAGCTTGATAGGAAATCAGACTGCAGATTATCTGTCCTTGTCACTCTTCATTTATACTTACACAGTGGGTGTCACAAGGAGGGTGTTTCTCCTTCCCATGGGGCTGACTAGTCTTGCTGTTTCTGCCAAGAATAATTTCCCAAAGGCAGCTTCCCTCCAGAAATCCCAGTACACAAGGAAGATGCTTTACATATCAGCAATATTTTTTATGAATCATCAGCTTTTCTTTATGATGAAATCTTTACACTAACAACGAAAAACAAGTGTCTGGAAGATGCACTGGAAGATACAGGGATACACTGGATTATACAAGGAATAATTCTTTAGTTAGAGCTTGTTGAATCAACAGTTTCTTAACCTATTCTTAATTTATTTAAATTAATTTTGTTCCTAATAACACTTTTTATATGAGGTACTGGTATTGGGAAACACAAGGTCAAAATGAATTAAGGAAAATGCAGTGTCATATTCTAGAGAAATTAACAGTATGATGTAATTACTATGGAAAGATCTCAGATACTGTGGTATAAAAGTAAAGTCCATCCAATATCCCTATAATGGACCCTTGCTCCAATATACTTCTAAAGATAAGGAGGTTTTCAGACTATGGGATAATCTCTGGAAGGAAATAGTGTCGGGGTTCCCAAACTGTGCTCTGTGGATTGGCGGGGAGAACTTGCTGGTGATCTGGCCAGACCTAGCTGCTTAAAAGTTGCTGACTCCTCTTTCTCCTTGTTTTCAGTTGTCCAAGGACACCAAGATAAGCTAACACCTTATAATCTATTTCCTTAATGCTGCTTTTCAAGTAAAGTAAATATTGTAGTTGCCACCTGGTTGTTACATGATTTTGAGTGGAAACTGTCATAATCTCTGCAGTGGTGAGTGAGTTGATGTCTCCATGGACAACTTCCCTCTTGATAATATGCTGCTTGGTATGGAAAGGTCTGGGAACCTCTGGCACAGAAGACATAACATAAAAGTGGACTGTGGATCACACTAGAAGAGGAATGGTTGTAAAGAATTTCCCTTTTGTCCACAGGGCACGGACAAGATGTGACCGAATAGAACTTTTCCATTGCCAAAGAGTAAGACTCGGTGCTGAGGAAGGAAATTAGGCATAAAAAGAGCCCTCCACAGTTGTGAACTGAAAAGGTCTTAACAGTAATTGGAGCCAGTACAGTCTAGTTGGCTCTGGGAGCTTGGGCATTATTGCTGATATGATATACAGGCTAGAGCTGTCTGTGGATACTGGAAATGCCCAAAAGAGAGTTATTTTTGTTCAAAAGGTCATCTTAGTTCAGGAAAGTCTTTTCAGTACATACTGGTGCACACATTCTCTTATGAATGGAAATGTACAAGTTGTTATTACTGTAGTAGTAATTGGTCTCTGCCTCACATACACCCAAAAAGTCCTGTACAGAAATACTTGTTAGGAGCCCTCACTTATATTGAGGGTGACATCTCACAGAGAAGAGAAGATGTCACCTACCCTCTAGAGAGGTGTCCTCCTTGTCAATGAGTCAGAACCAATTATAACCAGTCTAAACCGGTCTGCTTTAGAGTTCATACTGACCTTCATGAGCTTTTGTTCCTAAGGTGCTGGCACCCTGTACTTCCCAAATTAGGAGTGGTGGTTCACTCTAAAATGGGATCCTGAATTCACTGATTTATGTTGCCTGAATGAGAAAGACTGTCTGTGTCTGTGTAGGAGAGGGAGGAGAGAGAGAAAGAGAGAGAGATTTACCAGAGTGAGATAGAAAGTGCTCCTGAAAGTGTTTACTGCTACACTCATCTAATTTTCCAATCCCTGCTGGTAAGATTTCAGAAGAAATTACCCAAAAGCGTCTCCAGAAAATAATGTTTCTGAAAGAGCATTCCTTTTCCTCTCTCTAAGGCGTTTTTTTAAGGGACAAATGTGAAAACTTACCTCCCTGTGGCAGGGGAAAGTGTTTGCCTACCTATCTTAGCAATTTCCAGATGGACGGAAAGGATGGACTGTAGTCCACCAAAATAAACTGGTCAATTGTAAGGGTTTAGCCTCATTCAGTGGACCCAGGTGAGGTTTCTATAAATGTCCTACCCACCCACCTCTGCCAGATGGCCTTACAAAATTGTCCATTTCATGTGCCTGATTTTTATTCCACTTGTTACTATTTCTGTTCATGTCATTTGTCTCTCTGGGAAGTGGGCGAGCTGTTTTGCAAAACAAAATCAAATGAAGTGAGACAATCTTACTAACCATTCCAAAATTTTCAAATAAGGTTTTTCACCTCTTTGATGGGCCTCATCCAGACAAGCAGGGGCATGTGGCTTGTGGTGCCACAGTCCTCTTTGTGGTGCCATGAACCACATGTGTGGAATGTGAAAGCGTGCCCCACACTGCAAATTTGCAGCACAGGGGCAAAATTTGCTACTGGAATTTCCTGGTAGCAAAAAAAAGCACCAGGGGAAAAAGTGTAGGGCACGCTACAATAGCGTACACCAGAACAAACTGAGGCTTGGTCCTCCAGTGAGACACTCTGGATAACGGCCAGAGTATCTCTGTGCTCCATTTGTGCGCCAGCTGTTCCAGCACAGCAGGAGCCAGGAGGAGTTGGGCAAGGGCACTTTGTGTCCCACAACAAAGTATTTGTGCAGGGGCATACGCTGCAGCACAAACCAGTGACACAAATTTGTGCTGCTACTACTTGTGCTGCTGCAAGTGCATACTGCTGCTCATCTAGACACGGTCTTGAGCTCTTTGGTGCCAGTCTGATACTAACCCAGAAACAATGAAAAACCTCATAGGAATACCTATATTCATGGGATTTCCAACCCAAATTTTGCAGATGCAGGATGTTTTCATAATCCCAGGGAGGATCCTAGTAATGTGCTGCTCACTGCAGCCCATTCAGATGCATCTCATCTCATATGTGCACAAGCTGACAGCAATCTCTCAGCAGCTGAGACTGAGAACCACCTGCACATGTACCACAGTATTGGGATTGTTGAATCAATCAGAGTCTTTGTGGCATTACTTTTCTATTTTCCTTAGAACCTCAGACTAAAAATGGAGGGGACCTTTTACTGTCATGATCCCTCCTATCTCACACAGCCACATCATATAGGCCTGTTCAGAAGGTGATCAAGATCCATCTTAAAACTACTTAGGTTTTCTGCCCTCACTACTCGCATTAAAAGGCTGTTCTGGAGCCTCTCTGCCCCATTTTACTGCCAGTTATACAGACCATACAGCTTTTAGAGTATTCAGGGACTGCATGCAAGCCATGGTTTGTATCAGACCTTTCGATGTCCTTTCCCCCACTTGGAGTACCATCTTCCTGTCAACATCTCCTTTATGGCATGCATGAACAGAGGTCCATCAGTTGCACTTTGACTGTTTTAGCAAAACCTTTGTAATTTTGCAATTACCTGAAAATGCCAATCCTTGATATTCAGACCACACCTTGGACCAGGCACAGAAGTACTATTTAAAGCTCACCAGTTATATAGTTAACCTCTCCTCTGCCTGACTGCAACCTAGCCTTTGACTTCAAAACTTTCATCTTCATGATCTTTTTCCACAACAAACAGTGGTGGTGTGGTACGACCTCCCACACATTGGGGGTTTTTATTTATTTATTGCCATTACTATGGCACTATGTGTCAATGAAACAGAAGAGCCCAAGTCAGGAGCCAAGGCCCAACTGTACTAAGCTCTGTAGAAATGCAGGGTGTAAAGGTATCCCCTACCTCCAAAAGGCCTTGCAATCTCTGTATGAGACAACAGACAACAGAGTAGATACAGACAGACAGGGGGAAATAAGAAAACAATGAGACATTAGTCAGTATGGGTGCGTCTATGCATTTATTAAAATGTGGTGCCAACTGCACATTAAATTTAGTACTCATATAATCAAGTACTAAATAAATGTGCAGTAGGGTGCCGTACTGCACATTAACATGATTGCACACTTTGTATGTGACAGTTAATTCTCAGCAGACTAATATTACTGTGTATTAACCTAATAGTATGGTTTTGGCTGTGACACTGTAATGCGCAGTCTATCAGTCTACTGCACGTTAAGCCTCTCACGTTGATGCACCCAATGATGTGTAGCGGTCTCAGCACACCAGAAACTACAGCCAATATTTTCATAAGTCATATGATACGAGTTTTAAGAAGGGATCAGAAGGAGGACAGAAGGAGGACAATAAAGTAGCTTTGCGGATGTTTATAGGGAACTGCTATCAAAAGTGAGGGGCAGCATGAGAGAAAGCAAAAAAGTTCTTGCTTGAAAGCTAAACAATTGGGTTTTGGAGGTGGAGAACATGGGCTAACTGTGATGGTCACAATGTGCAGAGATCTTCTTGAGGATGTACCCACCCTATTTCTTACTTTGTCAGGTTGTTTTACTTATCAAAAGGTGGCTAGAGCAGTGTTTCTCAACCTTTTAAGTAGCAAGTACCCCCTAATTTCTGAAAATGTTAATAAGTACCCCAACACTCAATTTTCCAGGGGATTTTATATTTACAGACTAATGCGTGCCATATGTTGGAAGAAGGGCTATGTATATAAGGCCGTGATATGACAGATGTCTGATCTGGTGTGGGTAGGATTGCCACCTTTTACACCAGGGGTGCACAATTCATGTATGTACCTGGGCTAAAGGTGATGTTGGCTAAAGCTAGGAGGGCTGAACCCAGTGCCACACAAAGCACGGCACACCAAATTATTACTGGGGAATTTAAATTTACTGGGGAATTTAAATTTTTTGCCATAGTTTTGAGAGGAGGAAGTGGAGAGAGAGAGAGAGAGGAAAAGAGGGCAAGAGAGAGAGAGAGTATTGGGGTACCCGCATACCCCCTGCCTGTGTCTCACATACCCCCAGAGGTACGCGTACCACAGGTTGAGAAACTATGGGCTAGAGAATATCTTCATGTGTACTCTGTGAGAAGGGTGTGTTCAATCCAGTAAAGCATTGTTTGTGTGAGTGTTGCTTCAGTGATGCTTCTGCAACCTTGTTAAACATGATTTTATCTTGTCACTTGCTGTAATT